ACACACAGTCACATGATCCGCTGTTGATATAAACAATGTCCATGAGAGCAGCTACGAATACTGAACTGAACTAAACTAAACGCCTAATGGTCGCCGCTCATTTTTTTGAGTCCATTGGTTATGTAAATTGTAAATTGTGATTAAATTTTCCATATATCTGATTTTAAAAGCACAAAGTAAGATGCATGTTAAAGAACAAGGGCCATGTCTTCCACAATATTTGTCTTGTGGCCAAAAGAGTTGTGTCAATGCTTCCCATGTGTTATCTTACTTTACAGCTCATGTGGTAAACTTAGATTTTAACACAGCCTGTTACAAATGGAACTTTACAGCCAACTTATTGTTTTCATACCCTAAAGATAATGTTATTAATTAGAACTGAATTATATAAAAAAATAGCATATTATCATTCATTCAGAATAAGTTAAAAAAGAAAGAAGCTATTAGCTATTATCACCACAGTCAAAGCTCACACGCTGCAGGGATCTGGCACAGAGAAGATTATTTTAAAGATGCAGAACTGTGCATAATGTATCGCCGGGCTCACTGCACTGCTGAAAAGCTGTAGAGCAAGTGGAGAGGAGTGCATTGCTCTCACCCTCACACTCATATTATTTGCACCATAATAAATCTCTGAATTATGCAAATGCATGCATGCTCATAGTGTGCGCACTGACACACTGACAAAGGCAATCATGAATGCATGTGTGCCAAGTCAGCAAAGTCACTGAGAGAGAGAGAGATGGGTTATTTGGTTTTTCTACTGAATTTATTTATGGGAGGGCTGTTTGGTGTTTTCTGCCTCTTACTGGTTTGACATGCCTTTGATGGCACATAACTTTATTCTGAGGTTTTTTTTTGTTTTTTTTGCTGGCCTGAGTAGGAGAAGAGGAGGGGGGGATGAAAGGTGAAGATGAAGAGAAAGGAGAGATGAGGAAGTGGGGGTTGAGAAAGGCAGGCCAAGAGATAAAGAACAGGTATGGAGGATTAAGAAGGTGAAAAGAAGCAAGCGATGAAAAGAGCAGTATCAGAAAAGAGGGGAGGTGAAAGGACCAGAGGATGTGATAGAAAGGATGACGAAGCTAAAAGAGGGCCTGAAAGAGAAGAAGAAGAGAAAGAAGATGTGAAAAGCAGAATACTAATTTCTAGAACAGCAAACTAAAACGGTCCAGCTTAGTAGAAATGCTAGGGTGTAAAATAAATGTGCCCATATAGAACAAATACATTAGGAAATACACCCATTTACCCTATAATACCCTTCTTACTCCAAGCAGGGGAAGATAAGAAAACAGCCAGGACGCAGTTAGATAAGCCTATAACATAATGTCAGGATGGAAACTCAGCAGCCTGAAGCAGGATGTTACGTTCAGTATATTCTGCCTACACTACTGTAGAGTCGGTCTGGCTAAAGTGCTGGTTGCCACATACATGTAGGCCAGATCATAGTTTGACATCACAAACGTATGGAACTGTCCTCCAGATTGACACGAAAGGTTTCCTACTGCTGCATGTGATGGAGAAGTTGCCAATGTCAGTTACCACCTATGTGTTTAACAAATTAAATTCCATTTTTTATTTCAAAAGAAAGACAGTTGTTGTTCACTTGGATGCATAACCCGACGAGGGGACAAGCACATGTGGTACGTTTGAAGAATCCCATCTGAGAAAGAAAACCAAAGAGAGGTAGGATCGTGGATTAAAGACTTCTCCTGATCCTGCAAACGTCAGCTAAATTTGACTGGCTTTTTAACAAACACGACCGAAAGTGAGCGCTGACGGTTATCCTGACAATATGGTTAGCTAATGCTAACTTGCTTTTTGTGTAGGCTTTTGTCTTGGTGGCAGTTTAAGGAAAAGCATTCTTAAATCTATCTAAACATCACCGGAGTAAAGTTCTGGCAAATACTACTGATCGATGCAGGGTCGCTAGTTTTTTCTGCGGTTTTCAGGTGCTGTTAGCATGCCTCTTTTGGAAGAGATGGGAAATTAACGAGCCTGTGCTGCAGGTCCACAGAGTGTTCAATGATGGCCAACACTCTCCAAAGCTCTGTTTGCCCTCCAGGCATCCGCACCAGTCACATGCCTGAAAACTATGAATAGTAAACACATTTCAGCTTTGGTCTCTATTAGACTTACAGTAAGAAAAATAATTTTTCATGTTATGTGTTCTCACTTCTTTGCTACGTATATCCCCTATTAACTCCATGTATTAATATTATTTTGGTAGGGGGAGGGGGAGGCAAGATTTTTAACATTTCCTTTAAATAATGAAGTAAGGCAACAGGGGCTAAACACCGACGTTAGCTAAGAAGATGTATAGTAAGTTAGAATTTAACTTTAAGTTGTATCATCTATTAATTAAAACATGGTCAATTAGAATAACCATTAATAGCACTTTTTACAGAAATACATTCTTTATCTTTTCATTTTCTATGGATGGTTTTATTGCCAGATGATATACCTTCAATATATATGGCTATATATGGCTTTTCACTTTTTTTCCAGAAGAGTTCCCTGGTGTTTCACCCTTTCATACACCTTTATTGCAGCTGCAGAGAGGTCGTTTTTTTGTGCCATGATGAAAAACATTTGACAATACTTGGCCTGTGAGGTCAGATTAAAGTAGTGGCTTTCAACCTTTAGCATACATGCACTTCACAAATATCGCTGTCAGTCTTTTAAAGCCATAGATTGGAAAAGTGGAGCCCGAGATTATGGAGAGATGGAACCAAGAAAATTAGAAAAGTGGAAAGCAGGAACAAGAGGAGATGAAAATAGGCAGCTAGGAGAGGGTGGGGGAGAAGATGAGACAGAGAAAGGAGGAGGCACTAGAAGTGTGGAGTAGTCGAGCAGTTGTTGAGGAGCAATATCAGGCTTGGATGCTTTTTAAGACAGCAGGACTGCATGAATCAGAGCGTTGCGACAAACAATACTTGCTCATTCAGAACGCACATACACAGTCCTTTATATCACTGCAGGTATGAATATCAATGCCTCTGTCAACCTCTGGGTTTTAGCCGGGCTTTATGTGGAACAAATCTGCTCTTTGTGTTGCCTGCACTCCATTTCTTGTTGCATTAGATATAAATCTCTGTGCACATTTGCCCTTGCATTGCCTCTTAGAGGTATTACTACATTACCACTCTGTCTAAAAATTCTGATCTCATGCTTTATTTAACTGGAACACACTGTAAATCTGTTTATTTTTCCCCACCTGGCGCCCAGCTAAGTTCACAGCACCTGAGGTTGAACAATTTGTTTCTTTGTCTGACCAGTTGTTCTTTCCACTGAGGTCGTTCAGTACGAGCCAGGAGGTCTCTGTTTGTTTCTGTGCAACACTGTTTGCAATGTGCTGTGTTAACGGGGAATTATTAGACTGAGTATAAAGAGCCCTGGGAGCGCTGTTGGAAAGCATGCAGTGTGTGATCATACACCATTAGCCAGCAGTGAAAGTTGAGTAAGCATATTCTGGTGTAGATAAGATGGGTTTTTTTTTTTTTTTCGTTTCAGTGTACCCACACTTGTGAATCTGCAAGGTAAAGGTTTGTATTTATTTTAAGTAAAAGTCTTGTTTTATCAAATATTCACCAGTCAATAAGGTTGAAGAAACGAGGACATTTAGTATGAATACTTTTTGGACTTCAGAAGACCAAAATGCTTTCACCATTTAATCTTCCTGACACTTACGTATAAAATAACTTGCCAACCTAAGTTGAAATACCCCTGACACAAACACTGGTCTGCTGGGTTAAAGTCCACTCTTGACCTTTGTCCTGAGTAATTCATAACCAGTGGGTTACTGCTGGCATTCACTTCAAGGGAATGCTGTTTCGTTTGACGCATGTGGCTGGTTATATTGATCTGTCGTTTAATTTTTCATATTCTGTCTGCCCTGTCTGTCTGCCCGGAACCTGGGTGTCATGATTGATGACCAGCGAACATTTAAGGTTCAAGTGTCTTCGATTGCCCGGTTATGTCGATTCGCCCAGTACAACATCACAAACATCAGACCTTACCTGCCAGAACATGCAACACAGCTCCCGGTACAGGCTCTTGTGATATCACACATCGACTATTGCAACTCTCTACTGGCAGGTCTTCCTACATGCACTATCAAACCTCTACAAATGATACAAAATGCAGCAGTACGACTGGTCTTCAACCTTCCTAAAAGTGCTCATGTCACTCCGCTGTTCATCTCCCTCGACTGGCTCCCAGTTACTGCTCACATCAAATTTAAAACAAGCTTCAAGCTATACTATTTGTGAGCATTTATTGGGCATTCTTTTATTTGTTGAATCGGCAAACCAGTAATCTAAAAGTTGACTGACCTAAAACTATTTTTCATAATACCCTGACCCTGATGAAGGCTCTGATGAGCTGAAACCATAGACTGTAAGGCTGAAACATGTCGGTCTGCCATTCATTTTTAACTTTACCTGTAGCCATGAATTCATAAAGGCTTTTTAACTTTTGAAACAGAACAGAGAGCCTTGGATACTTTTTAGTGTTTACCTACTTTACTCTTCAGGGGACTTTTTTCACTCAAGTGATAAAATACATCTAGCATATTGTTTTCACTATTTTGATAATAATTGAATCTTCAAGTATTTTTTAGGCAAAAAATCACCTAAGCACTCTTATCTTGGATGTAATGCTCTGTGGGTTTTTTATGTTTTCTTGTTTCTGGGTTGCTTTTTTGATAAAAAAAAACATTAGTCTTTTATTTTGGTAAATTTAATCTAAACTAAATACATTTTTGATAATGAATCACTTGTATTGAAAAAACGGATTATAAGACAATGAAAATGCTAATTATATCCCGCTCTGCTTCATCTTCATGTAAACTGAAGGTGCACGCCCTCTCTTTATTTCCCTCTTCAGTTGGTTAGTATTATCTTTCAATCTGCTGCGTTCCTCTCTTGTCTCTCTCTTTGTCTCTGTCTCTTTTTGTTTCCCTTTCTTCCCTCTAATAGATATTGTATCTGTGTGTTTTGCAGGATCACTCTGAATGGGATGAAGGTGTCCAGGCCAGACGTTCGCATCGGCCGCTACAGAATGATTAAACACGAGAGAGACAAACACAACGAGCCCAACCCACAGAGGTACTGCATCATTGTCCAAACTCGCTCGCCGGCTTCACATTTGTATCGATTGCGCCGCTTTTGTCTCATAGTTACACAAACCTGATCTTTCTTTCCAAACTTTTTCATCTGAGTTCAAGAGACTTACAACTATGTGGCTCTGCAAAGGGCGTAATATCAGTAACAGATTCTTATAATTACTTTCTGTTGGATACAGAAACACATGTAGGGCAAGAGGTGAGAGGTAAAACAGCCCAGCATGATTCCCTTTGTATTTTATCTTCAACTTGAACTGCTTTAATTCTATCCACTTTTACTGGATTCACATGCCATGCCAAGACATTTAACCTTTTTAACCAGTGATGTCTTAAAGAGAAACCTTGCCATTAAAAAAATAAAATAAAATCCATGTCCTAGCTGATGCTGTTCACAAACATACCTGCCTAATGTTCAATCAGCACTCCTGGAAGAGAAAGAAATATCTACTCCCAATATAAACTACATGTTACTCTCTGAGGGAGATTTTGTGTTTGGAAGCCATAATAGGAGTGATGTATTGGATAATAAATCCTTGTTCAACAATCAATACGATGAGCCCTCCTTATGAGTCAGTTGTGATTCTGAGTGATGAAAGAACAATAGTAAAATCACTTTGACTGTTTCGGAATCTATACCATTTCATCTGTTTCAGTCACTTAGCGTCCACTAAAAATCTTGCATAGACTGACCTGAAGTGATTCACTTCCTCATTTTAAAGAGGTCATGGAGAAGAACAATATACACCAGCACATAGTGACTTGTTGGAAGTGGTCACAAGTGCAACAAAACAAAGGCTGAATCAACAAATGTGAATTCTCTACCTTCAATCGATTAATTCATTCTTATTTGTCGAGAGCTAATTCTTGACGCATATTATCCTAGTACACTTTGCAAAAGGAGCAGGTCCATATTATACTTTTTATGTTCTTAACAGAGACTCAACATCAATCTAGCTTGTATTGGTGAGAAAAAGCTTCTTTTAACAGCCAGAAACCTTGAGCAGATCCAGACATGATCATAAACAGCCTTCTGTTGTTGGCTCAGAAAGTAGGATGGAGATTCCCCCCATTGGTTGGTGAACTGTTTCAATGTCTCGAGTTTTGCCTTATTTCTGTCGCCTTACTGTGTTGCTTATTGAAGGCAGTAATGACCATATTTTGATGTATAAAGTGGATACGTATTGATACGTCTCTTCTGTTGAGTGATGAAATGTTGTGGTAGTGAAGAAGCCAAGGCCTTTAAGATACTCTTTACTGTAAATTACTGTAAATTACCATTATTTACAAAATGAAGACTTGAAACCAGTGTTTGTGACTATAAACTCAATGGGAACATTTTTCCTGAGGTCATAAATCAAAGTGAGATGTCAGGTCTTTTTCTCTTAGAATTGGAAATATTTTTTTGAACCTGTTAAAGTCAAACCTGCTGGCTATTTGAAAGAATGCACGTGTAATTAAGGTCCCAATATGGTCTACTTTTGAATCCAAGAGGCTAAGTCCACTTCTTATTCACAGTTCACAAGTCAGATCTGAAACCGAAGAGTGCAGCCACATATTTCTATTCACTCTTAATACCCTTTGCTTTTACTCTATTTCTGCACACAAGCCGTTCTTTTATCAATAACAGTTTTCATGTATCTAAACTATTTCTTTGTCCGTTCTTTTTTGCATCCCTGCTGTCACGGTTACAGTTGTTGTTAGGTAAAGAGGAAACATGAAAGATACATGAATCCTTTAACATGCCCCCAAGCCTACAGACATGCAGACAACATCCAACATTATACATTATTTAGCGTTTTCATGATTTATTTATTCAACTAAGTGTTCAATTATAGTTTATGGAAATTTTATTTCCCATGTTTCATTGTTTTCTCCACACTGCCAGGACATTTTTTCTGCAGGAGATTTCCTGAAATTTTACATTTTTAATTTTTGATGCCTGTACATTTGGTTTACTCAATCTGTAATACTAAAAACACAGCATCAAATACGCACCATGTGTAAGTTCAGCATCAAGTCAACTCCCCAGGTCGCTTAAACCCTAATCTCCCTAATAATGCTACTACTATATTTGTGACTAAATAAAGGAAAAATGAAGCATCAGCAAGAAAAGAGTACAGCCATCAGATATATATGTTATCTTTGAGGAGTTACTGACCTGAGGGAGGATCATTTTTCTGTTGACTGATTAACCATTTTCAGTCATAACAGGATATTTAAAGAAAAGCCTTTGTTAATAAAAAAAGATGAAATTGAAATGCTTGACTAAACGAGGTCATGTTCAATAAATAAAACAAGTGCATTTCAAAGACTCCTTAGCAATATCTGGCAATCACACTGTTGATTGTGTGCAAATGTGCATCAACAAGTCTGCTGTAAATCCAGTGCCGTTTTCCAACATTACCTGCAGAAAAGTATCAGAAGGAGAAAAATGTCAGGAATGTCTCCTAAGATTGGAACATTTCTAATAACCCAGGACAACATGTTTCCTTTCAATAAACCAACGTTTGCTTTTCAGATATACAGCTCAGGGTCTTAAAGTGTGCTTTAGGCCACACCGTTTAAATAGCTTTTCAGACAAAATGCTTCCCCTATAAACCTGTTATTTTATGGTTTGATGAATGACACCCAATATGCAGAGATGAGCCCTTCTAGACACATTAATCACCAGGAGTATAGCACCTCACATTAAGCTGCTTAAATGTGGATTATCACTGTTTATTCTCCTCCGTTTTCACGCCTGGGTGGGCCGGCCAGCGATGGCTCGTTACAGAACAAATCGATAGCTGCTGAAGCCGGCTCAGTCTGAAGATAGAGTGAGTTCTGTTCCCTCTCCTAAAATAGTTTGAGTTTAAGACCATATGATATGTTCGTATGACAGCGTTTTGACATGGAGGTGTCAGGGTCCACACACACACACACACACACACACACACACACACACACACACACCCCTCCACACACAAGTCTAGGACAGTTGTGATCTCTAAACAGGTTTATAAGAAGATTAAAAAATGCAGGCAACAGGAGTCATGTGCTTCATAGCGTTTTTGACAGCATTTTTATTCCAAGGCACACATTCAGGACCCACTGACAACGGCTCCATGACCCACTTTTGGGTCCAGACCCACCAGTTGAGAACCACTGCTCTAGAGACAAAGCACATGCATTCATTACTTCTAAAGTAAGAAAGATTTCCTCTTGAGTACAGGTGTGGGCTTTTGACATCTACTGAAAAGAAATGTGCCTTTAACCTGAATCAAGCACCTGCTGAGTCTCACAGGAACCTGAAACCTGCGTGTGAAAGGAGAATGAGTAATACTGTCAGAACAAATCCTTCCTTTCTCACTTTCTGATGTTGCTTTTATCCACCTGTCATTGACCTATTACCAGTTTGATGAGCACAAAACAACTCTCATGTTCCCTTTTCAGTTAAAAAAAAATCAAATCTACTCCTTATATAGATCGTGAAGTGAAGGCAAATGAGCCAAAAGTAGAAGTTCTGAACCAAATGAAATGAAAGAAATTTGATTCACCTGTCAAGAGCTCCCGCTGAAATGTTTGAGACGTCAGACATCCATCTTGAAATGATTTTACTTTAAAAAAACAACAACAATCTATACACTGTAATAGCTGCAATAACTTACATTTGAAGATGTCTTGAGTAACCAGGTCTTTGTAATATGTCATCCATCTTTGTTTTGTGTGTGCGTGTGTCTGTGTCTGTGTCTGTGTCTGTGTCTGTGTCTGTGTGTGTGTGTGTGTGTGTGTGTGTTATAAAGACAGAAAAATATTCAACAATCCCTCAGTAATTGGCTGCTGAAATGACACCAATAGAGACGGGAGACGGCTGGGTCAGACTGGTCTAGTTGCCTTCATCAAAATCAATAAATCAGCCAGTAGACTAAAAGAAAGTGTGTGTGTGTGTGTGTGTGTGTGTGTGTGTGTGTGTGTGTGTGTGTGTGTGTGTGTGTGTGTGTGTGTGTGTGTGTGTGTGTGTGTGTGTGTGTGTGTGTGTGTGTGTGTGTGTGTGTGTGTGTGTGCGCCTGCCTGCGTGTGTGACACTCAGCTCCCATTCCCCCATGCTTGTCGATCTGCTCTTTATCTCTCTCTCTCCCTCTCTCTCTCTCTCTCTCTCTCTCTCTCTCTCTCTGGTCAGTGGAGCAGACTTCCTCAATAAAACGTGACACCAACAGGGACCCTTCTTATTTGGGGCCGATACATTATTCATAAATCCAGAGAGGAGCACAAAATAGCTGCCTATTAGTCGCCACAAACCTCATTTCTATACGGCCCCTTCTGGACATTCGTTATAATGCCTCGGAAATCTCGGCTTAAAGGATCTCCTGAATAGAAGTGGCGTTTGGGCTCCACTGGAGCGTGGCGGCTCAGAATGATCAGGAGGTTGTGTTCGGAGAGAACAGCCTCCTCATGGCAGGATTCAGGCAGTGTGGGTGGAAAGGAGAGGTGTTTGTTTTTTTTCTCTGATGTTCTCTGCCCAGACTGGTTTCATTCATCAACTCTCATCAGCTGACGGACGTCTTTTTTCCTCTGTCAGACACTTTTACCCCCTCAGTGTCATTTGGTCTTCCATACGATTAAAATAGCTGTAACCAAAAAAAGGAGGAAATTTGGTGCAGAAGAAATAATTATTTTGATACCTTGTTCTCCGAGATGTAATTGAGGTTTATTGACTGGTCTTGTTTGTTAACTATGGTCAGAATAACGTCGGTTTGATGTTCATAATGGTCATAACTATTAATTGTGTTGGCATGATTGTTTAGGAATTCCACATTTTGAAGATCTATGGTCATCACCTGAATTGAAATATTGGGCCTGATGATGATATTTATGATATATATGATATGAGAGAATATGTCAGGGGATCTTTGAAGTTAATAAATCTAACTCTGTGAAGGACATGAATTTATCCAGGAGCCATGTAATAGTTGTTAAAAAATGTCAGTCACAATCACAATCATT